AGTTCATAACCTATCTGGGCTTCAATATTCTGTGCTGGTAGGTAACAAGATTTTAGACTATTAAATATCAGCACCATTCTCTCAACAGATTATTTAATACTTGACTGTTGCCAACCTGTGACTAAGCTGGCTGAATTTAGTTAAGGCAGAATGCTGCTCGTAAAGAGAATGTTTGTGTGCCCCATCTTGGCCAGAAAGAAGGCATGTCTCTATGGATTTTCCAGTAGCTTTGTGATGAAATTTTTATAATAAAGAGAATGGTTTCCAAATGCATCAACATCTGACCTGACCCATTTCTCCAAAGATCAGGAAAAAAAGTGGAGGATTTGAAAATTACAAAGTACAAAATGTTGGAAATTCAAAGGAATACACTTCATTATATTATATAATGCACTGCATTATATATGCAGTTTGGGATTCAGATTAGATAAATCACAAAAATACACTTATATTTTTATTGATCAGTCAGTGAAGAAAATGACAAGTGATGTTGCATTTCAAGTTAGAAGGAATGTTTGCTCTCCACCTTAGGGACTTAAAAAGCCATGTAGTACCTGAGAAGCAGGCCCAATTTCTAGATTAATGTGCCTCAAATTGGCTAGTAATTTACTATATTTTATGCTTCTTATAAAATGTCATAATTCCAAAAGGTCATTGTCCAAAAACACAAATATATCTGTTTTAATTCACATCCCCGTATCCATGCACTGCTGCAGTATTTACACAGTTAAATCAATTTTCTCTAGCCTCATAGGAGACTAGCACACGGGAGTTATGGAATCCAAATTTACAGGACGTGAAAGAAACTGAAAATTAGCATTGATTGCAGAGACCCAGCATAATGAAACATTTAAAGCTTGAACTCCATCCTCAATATGTATTTTATGCGTAAGTACAGACACTCGGGACTGAATTACAAAACAGTAATCCAAAGTTAAGTATTCAGATACTGTTCAGAAATGTTTATCACATCTCTTGATTGGGTTATGGTCTTCTAACTCACTCACAGATATCCATTATTCTAGATGTAATTTCCTGTCTAACTAAAATGGGTTACAAATAGATTGATGTTCTGCTACATTAAAGCGCGTTTGCAGAAAATACAACAGGGAGTGAATTACAATAAGCAACTGTGATACTATGCACGAGCATCCAAGATTTCTAATGTGGAAACCTAGCTAAAGGCTCCACAGTGCAAACTTGAGGATTATTAGTAATCTTATTGAATGTACGCAATAAATAAATAAAATAGACTGCATTCATTGACAACAAGGCATCTGGTCAAAGTACCAAGAAAATAAATTTGTGCATCTTGCACTAGTTTATAAGGATAGAAACTGAATACTAACAAGTAAAATTTATTTGACAATTGTTACAGGACCAACATTTCACACTGGCTTAATTAATATAAGCAGTGCATCATTAGACGATACACACCAGAAAATGTCACATTATGGAGGTTTTTATTCCTTTTAATGGGAACAAATGTGGCTCTCAGTGTTCAGAAAGGGAACCAAAAATCAAAAGTGTCTCTGATTTGTGACCAGAAACAAGTCACCCCAGATGGGAATTACAAGAGCAAACAGTGGGTGTGATCAGGCTTGGGATTAACAGCCTATGTAATGAAACCTTCAAGCAGCAGGTGATACAGTGAGGGAGGGTGTTGAGCAGGGGAGCTCGAGCAGTTGTTCCAGCAGCAGATGGTGGTGGTGAAGGAGGCAGCTGGAGCAGTTGAACAGACCCCCATTGGGAGAAAAAGGTGGCTTTGGGAGAAGGAAGCCTCATAGGGAGTGGAAACAGACAGGCAAAGAATTCCTCAGACCAATGTAAACCATAGGCTTCATTCCATGTAATTACTTACTTGTCAACCTTCACTTCTTCACATGCTTATAATGACCCGGCCAATGGAATAAGTACCCATGGCTTCATGACCTTTGGGCTGTTCATGTGTTTGAATGACATGTTACAATTCCATAGTCAAATAGCCAACTAATGCTCTGCATTCAAATATGAAAAAGAATAGCCATTCCAGCAAGATGGCCGAGATTTTGTATTGAATATGAGTTTCTATCCCATGGGGGTAGAAAATCAGCAAGAATGATCCTGACCTCCAGCTGCTTGCCTTTGCAATAAGCTATCTTGTTCCCATTCTAACATTTCCATCCTGGTTCTGCTATAGTGTTCCAACAAAGCTCAACACAAGCTGGAAGAACAGCACCTCAGTTTCTGTTTAGACATTTTACAATGTCTAAGACTCAATATTGAGTTCAACAACTTCAGAGGATAACTTACATCCTCCATTTTGATTCGAATCCCTCCCAACACCACCACCCATTCCCCCTCCATGTCTGTATCTTGTCTTTGTAGCTTTGCTCTCAGCACAGCGGTCCCATTTTTACCTTGGCTGCGTCTTCTGACACCCTCAAAAGATTCACATTGTGCTTGCACACTTTGTGAAACACTTGTGTCAGTTAAAAACATGGCAGCATCCAAATAGGCATAATGAATATGAGCTAACATGATGGAACAATGTCACTGATAGTACTGGCAGGCATATTGCACATGCAAGTTTTGCACATGCATACTGAAAGCATTTTGATGGTGTCAGCAGATATTCTTTATCTTTTCCACACTTATCATATACATCCATGTTACATCTCTGAATTCTCCTTTACCAACTCTTGCCTTTTACTCTGACACCTTCACCATCTGTTCCACTCATTCTTTTTTCCTGTTTGTCAATAGCATAAATATACATGATTTTCCAGCCCCTTTCAATTCTGAAGAGAAGTCATGTCGGACTCAAAACTGTCACTCCATAAAGCCATTGGTGCCTTGCTTCAATATATCCAGAAAAGGAAGTGAATCAACTTTATTTAAATCCAATTAAATTCTGTCCATTAACAAGTCACTGAACTGTTGGAGTAGAGATAGTAGGAACTGCAGATGCTGGAGAATCCGAGACAACAAGGTGCAGGGCTGGATGAACACAGCAGGCCAAGCAGCATCATAGGAGCAGAGAGGCTGACGTTTCGGGCCTAGACCCTTCATCAGAAAAGGGGGAGGGGAAGAGGGTTTTGAAATAAATGGGGAGAGAGTGGGAGGCGGATAGAAGAAGGATAGAGGAGAGGATAGGTGGAGAGGAAACAAACAGGTCGAAGAGGCGGGGATGGAGCCAGGAAAGGTGAGTGTAGGTAGGGAGTTAGGAAGGGGATAGGTCAGTCCAGGGAGGACGGACAGGTCAAGGGGGCGGGATGAGGTTGGTCGGTAGGAGATGGAGGTGCGGCTTGAGGTGGGAGGAGGGGATAGGTGGGAGGAAGAACAGGTTAGGGAGGCAGGGACGAGCTGGACTGGTTTTGGGATGCGGTAGGGGGAGGGGAGATTTTGAAACTTGTGAAATCCACATTGATACCATTGGGCTGCAGGGTTCCCAAGCGGAATATGAGTTGCTGTTCCTGCAACCTTCGGGTGGCATCGTTGTGGCACTGGATGGACATGTTGTCTGAGGAATGGGAGGGGGAGTTGAAATGGTTCGCGACTGGGAGATGCAGTTGTTTATTGCGAACCGAGCGTAGGTTTTCTGCAAAGCGGTCCCCGAGTCTCCGCTTGGTTTCCCCGATGTAGAGGAAGCCACACCGGGTACAGCGGATGCAGTATACCACATTGGCAGATGTGCAGGTGAACATCTGCTTGATGTGGAAAGTCTTCTTGGGGCCTGGGATGGGGGTGAGGGAGGAGGTATGGGGGCAGGTGTAGCACTTCCTGCGGTTGCAGGGAAAAGTGCCGGGTGTGGTGGAGCTGGAGGGGAGTGTGGAGCGGACAAGGGAGTCACGGAGAGAGTTGTCCCTCCGGAAAGCAGATAAAGGTGGGGAGGGAAAGATGTCTTTGGTGGTGGGGTCGGATTGCAGATGGCGGAAGTGTCGGAGGATGATGCGTTGGATCCGGAGGTTGGTGGGGTGGTACGTGAGGACGAGGGGGATTCTTTTTGGTTCTTATTGCGTGGACGGGGTGTGAGGGATGAGGTGCGGGAGATGTGGGAGACACGGTTGAGGGCGTTCTCGACCACCGAGGAGGGGAAGTTACGGTCCTTGAAAAACGAGGACAACTGAGATGTACGGGAGTGGAATGCCTCATCCTGGGAGCAGATGCGGCGGAGGCGAAGGAATTGGGAGTAGGGGATAGCATTTTTGCAGGAAGGTGGGTGGGAGGAGGAGTATTCTAGGTAGCTGTGGGAGTCGGTGGGCTTGAAATGAATATCGGTTTCGAGGTGGTTGCCCGATATGGAGACAGAGAGGTCCAGGAAGGGGAGAGAGGTGTTAGAGATGGTCCAGGTAAGCTTAAGGTTGGGGTGGAAGGTGTTAGTGAAGTGTATGAACTGTTCGAGCTCCTCGTGGGAGCACGAGGCGGCGCCGATACAGTCATCAATGTAACGGAGGAAGAGGTGGGGTTTAGGGCCGGTGTAGGTACGGAACAGGGATTGTTCCACGTAACCTACAAAGAGGCAGGCGTAGCTTGGGCCCATGCGGGTACCCATGGCTACCCCCTTTGTCTGTAGGAAGTGGGAGGAATTGAAAGAGAAGTTGTTGAGTGTGAGGACGAGTTCGGCTAAGCGGATGAGGGTATCAGTGGAGGGGGACTGGTCGGGCCTGCGGGACAGGAAGAAGCGGAGGGGAATGCAGGTGTAGAGGGACTGGACGTCCATGGTAAAGATGAGGTGTTGGGGACCGGGGAATTGGAAGTTCTGGAGGAGGTGGAGGGCGTGGGTGGTGTCACGGACATAGGTAGGGAGTTCCTGGACCAAGGGGGAGAAAATGGAGTCGAGATAGTTGGAGATCAGTTCGGTGGGGCAGGAGCAGGCGGAGACAATGGGTCGACCAGGGCATTCAGGTTTGTGGATTTTGGGAAGGAGATAGAAGCGGGCAGTGCGAGGTTGGGGAACGATGAGGTTGGAGGCCGTGGGTGGGAGGTCACCTGAGGTGATGAGGTTGCGGATGGTTTGCGAGATGATGGTTTGGTGCTCAGGGGTGGTCTTTAATACTGTTGGTGTGTGGAAGCAACCCATCACAGACCATGTCAAAATGCAAACTATGAAGGCTAACGTGAGCAGTTGAACAAATACATTTATTAGTGGCTTTCAGTGGCAACTATGAAAGCTGTTGGATTTTCTACCCAAATTAATTGCAAAAAAAAGCTTGGAAGAAGTCCCAGAAAATGTCATAATAAACTAGAAAATTACAAATGTCTATGCAAGATTTAATTTGCAGCTACTTCCCCTGGTTCTTTATTCCATATCATCATGCTTACTACTGCACTGAATACCTGGCACTACTAACGAATCACAAATCTGGTTGCACTTAACTCTCACATTAGCAGTAAACCAAAACACAAAGGGATTAATAGGAGACTCAATTTGCAGACAAATCTCCAAATGCTGAGAATATTTTAACATATGAATAGTAAAGTGCAGTATGTGACAACTGAAGGCATTTTGTGGTCTAAACGCTCATTAAGAACCATTTAGCAAAATACAGTGTAGTATTAGGAACTTACAGACTTATAGTAAGGATTTTTGCCATCAGAACAGAATGTGAAGATATGGGAATGCGAATATCTGGCTACTCAATGTCTATTCCTAAATGTCAACAATGCCAGTAATACTGTGGCATTTACATAAGAGTGCTGAAGAAGCATGCCCATTGGTTTTCATTAGTTGTCTTTTCTTCTGCATTGCCTTATGTTCAGCCATTCTCTGATCCGAAGAAAACGGAACAGCTACAAGCTGATTACTTCAGGTTATCTTGGAATGGCTTCATCACCCAAAGCTAGAATGCAAAATATAAGAGGAAGTGATATTTGAACTCTCCTTTTTACTATTTATAAAATGACAATTTATTACTATATATTGACATAAACAGTATTTCTTTGCTAAAATAGCATGTCAGCAAATATTTGTTTTACTTTCAAATTAATTGTGTTGCTCTGAAAATACATGACTATGTATTAACCTTACTTGTCAACCACAAACAAAATATTTAAAGAAAACACACTTAACTGAGAATTGTATTTAGTTTACAGATATTTAAAAGAATTACAAGTTGTACAAGGAAGATGCCTTACGTTTTACTGCAAGCAATGTGTTTCCATGACAACACGCAACAGAGGTAACAAAATAGGGATTACTTTCATCCAGGTGTACTTGCTTAGGTATCCCAGTGTCTTCTTCTTTCCTTCCCAGTCTTCCTCTGGCACCCTTTCCCCATGTATAAATTTCTCCTTCTGTTGAGGTAAATAAAAAAATGCTTTTAGCACCTTGTCAACCTAAATTGTGCTGCAAATATTAAAATAAAATACAAACGTTCTCAGTGGTGTTCAAGATCAACTGTGTGAATATTACCAACCAATCTCTATTAAACGTTGGATGACTAACAGTATAATCTAACCTGATACAATGCCACATAGACCAGGAAGATCTCACGTTTGATCTTTAGTTAATCTTAACTGCAGAACCACTTAGTTGTAACAATTGGCCTCACTGACCCAGGCCTATCAAGATAGTTTTAGTATGAAATTCCAGCTTATTTTTACCTACCGACTTCGGCTGAAAATTGCAATTATGTGGAAATCAGATGTGGAGAAATTCAAGATCAACCATGATACCTGAAGGTCACCATGCTTGTTGACTTGCACTGTTTATGTTCACAAAAATCAGGGAAAGGCAACTTGTTTCAATGTTCAATCAACTTCTATTTCGTACTCAGCTTCAAGTACATTCTTCCTTGCACAGATTCATTTTGGTCATTACTTCCAAAAACAAGTCTAAAACCAAATGTTTTTCAATCACCAAGAGTAGCATGATTGCGTTGGATAGCATTAGAAATTTATATTGACATAGGAACATTGCATACCTTGCAGAATGGAAATATCCTGATGTTTTTTTTCCACTTCAATTTATTCTCCTTAGCCGTTCTCTTCGAAAGTCAGTGGCTTGTATCTGGCATCACAGCAACTCATTACATCCAAATATCAGCACTTCAATTCTGATCCAGGTACTCTAAGGGCTAGATTTTTCACTTTCCTTATCATCATACCTCCTTGCTCCCTTAAGGGTTTTCACATACTAAGAACAGCATTGATTGCTGCTGGGTACTATTGGCAATTTATATTGGCTTCCTAGATTTGAGACAGAATGTTCTTTTAAACATTCACTCCCCTCTCCTCTCTTTTGTTTCTGGGATTTACCATGAGTAGTGACAGGGTAAAAACTATTTACCCATTAGATTCACCACTGCCCAGAGTGCAAATTCACAAAATAATAAAAACACATCATCCAACAGATCAATTATGTCCTAACAATGGATTTCATAACTGCAGTCTGTAGCGATTGTAATTAAGTCGGCCAGCTGAATCTCATAGAATTTGGGTTTCCTGATTGGACCAAAGTGACAGCCCCAATCAGGGACACCTGGCTGACATAAAAGGATGAATATCAGGGATACTGAGCCCCTGAATGCCTGACTCAAGGACAGGCAGTGCTATTGTGAAAGACTATGCATTTGTAAATAAAGGATGATTGGTGATGGGATGCTGGTCTCTGAAGAGTTATTTCAGTGCTGACGAGAGTAAAGCATGATCCTGAAGAAGCCTACTCGCAGCAGTCATTTTGAAGTTGGGAATAAGTATTTTCTTACATCATGCCTCTGTGTGGGAAACTTGAGTCATTCGGCCCTGCTATTGAAGACTGGACTCAGTATGCAGAAAGAATGCATTTTTTTTTCCAGCCAAATGATATTGTGGCAGATGAAAAACATCAAGCAATTCTCCTGACAGCCTGAGGAGCTGCAGCTTTTTTTCTGTTATTAGGAGCCTAACTTTTCCTGAGGCACTAGATACTAAAACTTTTCAAGAATTGACTGACATAGTTAAGGAATAGTACGACCCCAAGCCTCTTTTAATTCGGAGACATTATCGCTTTTACTTGGCAATTTGAGAACCAGGAAAATCCATATCGGGGTTTTTGACTAGGTTAAGACTGGTATAAGCCTGTGAATTTGGTTTCACCCTTAATGAGATGATTAGAGACCATCTAGTATGCAGGAATAATGGTGTGACTATGCAAAAGCACATACTGGCTGAAGCTCAACTGGAATTCAAACAGGCACTACAACCAGCTTCGTCATTGGAAGATACAGCAAGCAGAGCACGTGAACTGTAAAGTATTCTGACAGAGATGGACCCCTTTGCCAGTCTGCCTGAGCATGGGGAACACCACTTGAGTGCAGGCAACTGCATAGCTTCACTCAGGAAATATCCTGATGGGAGTAACTCAGGTTGGCCCACAGCAAACGCCCAACACAAAGCACTTTTGGAATACTGCATTCAATTTGGATCTTCCTGCTGTAGGAAGGATGTTATGAAACTTGAAACGGTTCAGAAAAGATTTACAAGGATGTTGCCAGGGTTGGAGGGTTTGAGCTACAGGGAGAAGCTGAATAGGCTGGGGCTATTTTCCCTGGAGTGTGGGAGACTGAGGAGAGTCCTTACAGAAGCTTGTAAAATCATGAGGAGCATAGATAGGGTGAATAGTCAAGATCTTTTTCCCACGGTAGGGGAGTCCAAAACTAGAGGGTATACGTTTAAGACAAGAGGGAAAAGATTTAAAAGAGACCTAAGGAGCAACTTCTTCATGCAGAGGCTGGTGAAACTGCATCAAGAACTCCAGTGCCAAACCCAAGATTCCATCAAGATAGTGACAGTTTGATACAAGCTCCACAATGTTTGGTGCAAGAATCATGGGTCAGGACCAGTGACTTATAAAGTTCAGGTAGGTGCAACTGTCCCGAATAAGCATGTGGACCACTGAAAGCTGCAAATTCACAGACTGGTTGGGAGCAGTCAAGAGCTTTCAGAAATACTTCAGGGACCTATTGATTCATGCTCTCCATTAAACTTCTGAATCGAAGACGGACATGTTGGAAGTAGCCACCTTGACACTTCTGCATCCGGAGGAAGGGAGTGAAAGCCAAGTGAGGCGTTCCAGGCACAGGACATGAGCTCCTGTTTGTTACACATCTTCCATTTCAGATTCCGAGTTGGAAGAACCTGACCCGGTGTTAAAACGTCCCAGGAGGCTCTCAAAGGAATCAGACTGCCCTGTGTCCTTCGACTCAGAGGGGAACGATGTAGTGATTGTAATGAGGTCAGCCAGCTGGACCTCATAGAATATGAGTTCCCTGATTGGATCAATCAGGAAGACCTTGCTGACATAAAAGGATTAATGTCAGGGATATCAGCCTCTGAATGCCTGACTCAAGGAGAGACTGTGCTATAGTCAAACACAATACATTTGTAAATAAAGGGTGATTGGTAATGGAATGCCAGCCCCTGAACAGTTATTTTAGAATCCAACATTGTTACGAATAGTGGGAGCACTATTAATTTATGGATCCAAAAAGCCTGTTGTCAATATCAGAATGGCAATCTAGGTGCAGCTTTATTAAAATGAAAGGATTTTCCTAATTTACCGATGAGAAGGCCAAGCTTTAACAGGCCTTTACAACCTACTCCAGCTATCTTCTTCTTCCCTTCATAACCCTCCAGGCAGACTCTCAGCCAGACAGTTGGTGCAAAAAAAATGCAATTAGACTTTGAGGTCTGCTGACATTAATCTCTGCCCCAAACTCTTCTCCAAGCAGATTAATGGCCAGGAAGAAAAATGCAAATAATCCTTAAATTTGAAATTTTTCTGTGATCAGAAAACCTTTTCACAAAAGAGGACAATCCTGACCGTAGCATCAACAGATGTCCATACAGCAACTCTTGAGTCAAAAGCAACAACAGAAACCCCCCAAACCAGGGCTGTTAAAGTCAGCAGTTATAATCTGGCTGTAATTCCAACTAAGAGCAACTAGTTCAGAAAAAAATACAGGGGGGATCTTGGCATCTTTTTGTCTGTAACACCCAATAACCAAAACTGTAATACATTTGCTTACTGAACCATAATGGTGTTATCTGTAGTTTTTAAATTTCTGTTAAACATCTCCAAACTTTTTAAAAAAATCTTATCCTGATACTCTTTGCTTCTTTCTATGTTTCACACAGCAGTAACAAGCAGTGTGATTAGTGTCAAGACGTCGTTAACAACTTCGCTCCATAGCACTGAAACCATATTTAAAAACGCATCTGTCCCGTACACAAAATTTAATTAGTCTTGTGAATCAGGTATTGAAGAAATTTCTAACATTTCTAATTAGAAACTGTTTGATTACCAGCATCCTCTTTTAACTGCAGGGCAGGCTTTAGTTATATAAATGTACTGTATTTCTGCAATAAAGGCATGTTCAGAACAATCATGATATTAGGAGCAGAGGTTCCGCTGAAAGTAGTTTATCAACCTCACTGAGTCATGCAATTATTCTAATCATTCAAATATTTAAGGGAATCTATTTATCAAGATTACTTTTGATTTTTATAAACAGCTACGTAGTGTCCAAGAGCAACACAACAAATCAGTCCGAGAGTGTGATATGATTGTTCATGTAATTGAATATTAATTTGATCAACATAATTAGATTTGCAATTTAGAATCTGCCCGAGTTTTAATGAAATGCTAATTATCCTTCCATCATTTCCATTGCTACATACCTGCTCCAATTGCAACTGTGAAAGCATCACCACAAGCAACCATGGTAACCTTTACCCCACACAGGTTAGAGACCAAATACGGCAATCGATTATTGTGACGTGTGTTGGTGCCTAGTTGTCCGTGTTGATTACTGCCAAATGTATAACATTCCCCAGTTTCTGTAAATGATCAAAGAGACAATCATTTTCTTTCAGAATACTTAGATAAAAGCCTGAGTTGGACTGTCTGGTAGCACAACATAGTGATGCACTAAACTTGAACAAAGAGGAGGACCACTTAGCCCCTGAGCCTGCTCACCATTTAATAAGGTCATGGCTGATCTGATTACAACTTCAAGTCAACATCACCACCAATCCCAAATATCCTTATGCCACATTGCTTAATAAGAATCTGCCCCCACTTCCTTAAAGAAACTCAAAAGTCTCTACTTCAACTGCCTTTTCAGTGACAGTTCCAAAGACTCATGACCCTTTGAGAAAAAATGTGGTCTCATCTCTGGCTTAAATGGGCGACCCCTTATTTTTAAAAACGGACCATAGTTCTTGATTCTCCCTCAACAGAAATCATCCTCTTCACATCTACCTTACCAAAATGCCTCATAATCTTAATATATTTCAATCAAGTCACCTCTTATTCTTTTAAACTCCAGTAGATACAAGCCTAGCTTATATGAGATCGCAGAGTATTTGGAAGTGCATAGTAAAATAAGGCTGAGTCAGCACTGCTTCATCAAGAGAAGGTCAGGCCTGACAAATCTATTCAAATTCTTTGAGGAAGTAATGACCAGGTTAGACAAAGGAGAGCCAAAGGACACGTTCTATTTGGATTTCCAGAAGGCCTCTGACAAGGTGCCAAACAGAAGGTTGCTAAGACAACATCCCATTGTACTGGGGGAAGATACTGATATGGATAGAGGTCTGGCAGAAGGCTGACAGTAGGGATAAAGACGTCTGTTTCGAGATGGCAGCCAGTGAATAGAGAAATTCTGCAGGGATCCATGTTGGGACATTTATTCACTTTATACATTAACAATCTGGACAAAGGAACTAAAGACATTGATGCTAAGTTTGCAGATGACACAAAGACAGGTGGAAGGGCAGGTAGTGTTGAGAAAGCAGGGAGGCTGTAGAAGGACTTGGACCAGCTAGGAGAGTGGGCAAAGAAGCGGCAGATGGAATACAATGTGGAAAAGTGGGAGGGTATCTGCTTTGGTAGGAAGACTAGAGGTGTAAACTATTTTATGAAGGGGGAAAAGTTTCAGAATTCTGAAGCACAAAGGGCCTTGGGAGTCCTGGTTTAGGATTCTCTTAAGGTTAACATGTGGATTCAGTTGGCAGTTGAGATGGCAAATGCAATGTTAGCATTCATTTCAAGAGAATAGGACCCAAGGACACAGCCTCAGAGTGAAGAGACGAGCCTTTAGAACTGAGATGATGTGGAATTTCTTCAGCCAGATGGTGGTTAATCTGTGGAACTCACTGCCACAGAGGGCTGTAGAGATCAGGTCATTTAGTGTGTTTAAGACAGAGATAGATAGGTTATTGATTGATAACAGGATTAAGGGTTACAGGAAGAAGACGAGAATGCGGTTGAGAAATAAATCAGTCATGATCAAATGGTGGAGCAGACTCAATGGGCTGAGTGGCCTAATTCTGCGCCTATATCTTAAGGTCCAACCATTCCTCTTGAGAAAAACTGCATATTCCAAGTATTAGTCTGGTAAATCTTCTCTGAATTGCTTGCAACACCTTTCCATTCTTCTTTAAATAAGACGACCAATGGTGCACACAGTATTCAAGATGTGGTGTCACCCGTACCTTATATGACTAAAGCATAACCTCCCTATTTTAGCATCCAATTTCCTTTATGATAAATGATTGCATTTTATTAGCATTCCTAATTTCTTGTTGTACCTGCATATTAAATGTGATTCATGCATGAGGACATTCAAATCCCTCTGTATCATAAAGCTCTATAATGTCTCACTGTTTATTTAATAATTTTTTTTATTATTACTAACAAAATAGGACAACTTCTCACTTTCCCACATTTGTCAGATCTTTGCCCACTCACGTAACCTACCTTTTTGTAGCCTTATGTCCTCTTAACTTACATTCCCACTTACTTTTGTGCGAGCAGCACATTTAGCCACCCACCTTCTGCTTCTTCATAAAAATCACTTACATTGTAAACAATTGACGTTCCAGAACAATCCCTGTGGGGCACAGAATTTAAGTGTCGTTTGATCAAGGAACTTTACAGTCAGAACATGCTCATCTTCAAGCTACTGTTGAGATACAAGAAGGGTCTAGGCCCGAAACATCAGCTTTCCTGCTCCTCTGATGCTGCTTGACCTGCTGTGTTCATCCAGCTCCACACCTTGTTATCTCAGATTCTCCAGCATCTGCAGTTCGTACTAGCTCTTCAGTATAGTTGGTCACTTTTTTTTGCTTATATTTAGTTAATTCTAGCAGCGTTTTACAAGGACAGATGACATACTATTTAATGTACAAAGTTTAATTCTACAAAGTAGATATGTTCCCCTTATGGATATAATTAGTTATGGTTCAGTGATTACATTCTTGTACCTTGAAGTTTGTGGGTTAAAGTCCCACTCCATATATTCAAGCACAAATTTCAGGCTAGCAGTGCAGAACTGAGGGACTGCTGCACAATTCGAGATGACATCCTTTAGATCAGCCTTTAAACCAAGGTCCTGTTTGCATTTTAAATCAAAGCCCTCTTTATCCTCTTGAGTGAAACTAAACAAACCTGTGGCATTATTTGAAGGAACTGCAGAACAGTTTGTTCCTGATCAACATTTATTCCTCGACTAACATTTTTAAAACAGTCATTATCATTGCTGTTTATGGGAGCTTGCTGTGCGCAAAGAACCCTTACTACATTCCAACATTAATCATTTTAAAAGTATTTCATGGGCTGGAAAGCCTTTTGGGACATTTTATAAACGCAAATTTTGTTTTCTATTTGCCTTGCATTCTTAAAATCAATATCTAGATCAGATACAGGTCAAGTTGGCTCAATTTCTTTAAGTGTTACAACAACAAAGTCCAATTGTTAAAGTAGGCAGAAGTAGATCTCAATGAGAATTTAATTGTTGATTGATAAAATAATTTGTTAATGGACAACACTCAACTAGTTGTGGTGTAGATGAGATGTACAAATGATAGCATTTTCTTTTACTCTCGGGATAAAGGTGAGAAAAATGAAACAGTATTTATTGCCCAATCTGGAATTAAAAGCTACTCTAATGTGACCGTTATTGATTGTCTGATTGTCATCTGATTCACTACTGTCCTTTAGAGAAGGAAATCTGATGTCCTTATCAGGTGTTGCCTACATATGACTAGAGATCCACTGCAATGTAATTTAAAATGCCCTGCCTGCCCAGCATCAACCTAGACACCAAAATTAACATCTGGAAATTTATTCCTAAAAAAGGAGTTTCTACAACAGATTGGTCAAGCACAAGTCTGACACAGTCATTCTCACAGAATCATACCTTACAGACAATCAACATCCCGGGGTATGTCCTGAACAACCAAAGACACACCAGAGATGGTGTGATGACATACAACAGGGAGGGAGTTGCTCTGGAAGTCATCAACATTAACTCCAGATGTCACAAAGTCTCATGATATCATGCCAAAGATGGGCAAGGAAGCCTTCTGCTAATTACCACTTATTGCACTGCTTTGGCTGAAGAATCACTACTCCATGTTGAAAATCATTTTGAAAAGGCACTGAGGGTGGCAAGTGCACAGAATGCACTCTGGATGGGGGACTTCAATGTCTATCACCAACAGTGGCTCAGTAGTACTATTACTGACCAAGCTGGCTGAATCATAAAGGACAAAGCTGGCATATCCTCCATTCTACCATTCTGGTAAAATGATGGTTTGATGCTATAGTATGAAGTGTCAAAAAGAGATAAATTTCTACTATTGGAAAACTGACTACAATAAGTCTGAACTAGCCAGAGTTGAAGTTTCATATCAGAACTGCAAATGTCACCTGAAGAACAGGTCGAGTTCAAATACAGAGCAGAACTGATGGAACAAAAGAGAAAACAGAAGGGCCATGAAAGGCTGTAAAGCACTGACTATAAAAATGGTGATGGAAGGTGAAATACGGGTGGTAATGTGGCACTGCTCAGTGTTTAGGCCATGTAGGACAATGTGATCATATAGTGGTTAGTACTTTGCATAGCGGCAGCAGCAACCCCAGTTTGAATCCAATTCATGGCACTGCGTACAAGCAATGCAACAATGGGTTTCTACTGTCTATGGGATTTTCTGCCGTAGAAAGCAGTTAAAGCTAAAACATTGAATGTTTTCAAGAAAGAGTTAGTTCTTTAGGGTAAAGGAATCAGAGTGTGGAAAGAAAGTCAAAACAGGTCACTGAGTTGGATGATCAGCCATGATCATATGGAACAGCAGTGAAGGCTCATAGGGTCAAATGGCCTTCTCCTGCTCCTATTTTCTATGTTTCTATTAATCCAGGAAATAGACCCTGGTTCAAAGAAGAGTGCGGGAGGACATGACAGGAACAACAACCAGGCATAGCTAAAATTGAGATGCCAACCCTGTGATGCTACAAAACTAGATTCCCTCGTGCCAAATAATATGTTCAGCATGCAAAAGACAGGACGAAGTGATCCGGCAACCAATGGATCATATCTAAACTCTGCAGTCCTGCCACATACAATGTGAATGGTAGTGGACAATTAAACAACTCATTAGAGGATGTGGCTCCATAAATATCCCCATCCACAATACTGGAGGTGCCCAGCACATTAGTGGAGAAAACAAGATTGAAGCATTTGCATCAACCTTCATCCAGAGGTGCCAAGTGGATGATCCATCTTAGCTTCCTCCTGGAGGTCTCAGCTCCAAAGATTTCATTCTTCATCCATTCTTTAACCAGTTCAATCAGTCCAAGTGATATTAAGAAACAGCTGAAGACATTGAATACAACAACATCTGTGTGCCCTGACAACTTTTTACACATGAACATATAAATTAGGAGAAGAAATAGGTCATTCATTACTTTCAACCTGCTTGCCATTCAATAGGATCATGGCTGATCTTTTTGTTTTTCGAATTTCACACCCATTTATTCCAATAATCTCTGATTC